ACGCTTTCTATTTTTTTAAAAAATATATTTTTATTGATTTCAGAGAAGGAGGGAGATACAGAAACATCAATGATGAGAGAGAATCATCGATCAGCTGCCTCCTGTATGCCCCACACTGGGGATTGAGCCTGAAACCTGGGAATGTGCCCTGACCAGGAATTGAACCATGATCTCCAGGTTCATAGGTTGATGCTCAATCACTGAACTGCACCTGGGCAGGCTGTGTTTATTTATTAAGAGGGACAAGAGGTCAGAACTGGATGTGAAAACCTTAGTTGAACTAAGAAAGATTGAGTCTCAGTTGGAAATATTTACTTATGACAATGAGAACAAGTACTGGCCCTCAAGCCAGGTAAATAAAAATTTCACAAATCATAACAATCTGAATAAACAAACCATAAATTTCTGGGGATTAGAATTATGTAAAGAATCTGCTTGAAGGAATAAGGTTAGAATGTTCCAAGGGACCAGAAGTCATATATTTTTAAAACTTTATGAAAATTTGAATTATAAAGTTTTTATGTATATAATGTATTCTCTTTATTGAGTGTACTAGAGGCCCGATGCACGAAATTCATGCACGGGTAGGGTCCCTATGCCTGGCCAGCAATCAGGGCTGATCTGTGGGGTGACCGGAGGGATGATCTTGGCGGGGGCCCGTTAGCACCCACCTTGGCCGACCTGGTGCCGCCTGCCCACTAGCCCCGTCCCCCACCGCGGGGTGATGGAGGGGGCTCCCCGCTGGCACCCACCTTGGCTGGCCTGGGGTCTGTGGGCTGTGGGCAGCTTCTGTGTTGAGTATCTGCCCCCTGGTGGTCAGTGCATGTCATAGTGACTGGTCGTTCTGCCATTTAGTTGATTTGCATATTAGGCTTTTATTATATAGGACTAGAGGCCCGGTGCACAAAAATTTGTGCACTCGGGGGGAAGGGGGGGGTCCCCCAGCCCGGCCTGTGCCCTCTCGCAGTCTGGGACCCCTCGGGAGATAACGACCTGCTGGCTTAGGCCTGCTCCCGGGTGGCAGAGGGCACGCCCAATCCCTAGGTGCAACCCCTGGTCAGGCTCAGAGCAGGGCCGATTGGGGAGTTGGGCGCCGCTCCCCTGTCATGCACAGAGCA